TCTTTCCCAGCATCAGGGTTTTCTCCAGTGAGTGCAAACATGTCTTTCAAATGCCGGGAAAGATGCCTGGCTTTAAAGTTTGATGCGAACGTATCAAGCAAGCTAGTACTGTGAAAGGGTCATTATGGCTCCTGATTCTGCCACTTTCTCCAGATACTTGGTGACATATCTCTGCAGGTCTGCTATTGGTTCACTGACTTCAGCCTTTGAGAAGTTCCTGGTGGTGATGCACTGTGCTAAAACTGATGCTGCTTTTGGAAGAGCAGTTCTTCAGAGCCTGTTTCTTCAAGACGACCTGCAGATAACATCAGGTACATGGCTCCCTAGTCATCAAATCACCGCAGACTGTGACTGCAGCCATGAAATTAAAAGACGCCTGCTCCTTGGGAGGAAAGCGATGGGGAACCTAAACAGCATGATAAAAAGTAGAGACATCACCCTGCCAACAAAAATACGCATGGTCCAAGCAATGGTATTCCCAGTAGTCATGTATGGCTGCGAGAGTTGGACTATAAGGAAGGCCGAGCGCCGAAGAATAGATTCTTTTGAACTATGGTGCTGGAGAAGACTCTTGAGAGTCCCTTGGACTGCAAGAAGATCAAATCAGTCAATCCTAAAAGAAATCAACCATGACTGTTCCCTGGAAGGCCAGATAATGAAACTGAAGCTCAAATACTTTGGCCACCAAATGAGAAGGGAGCACTCACTGGAGAAGGTCAAAGAAGGTCAAAGAAGACGGGGACAGCAAAGGATGAGATGGTTAGACAGTGTTATCGATGCAACGAACATGAAATTGAGCCAACTTCAGAGGACAGTGGAAGACAGGAGGGCCTGACGGGAGCTGGTCCATGGGGTCGCGAAGAGTCGGACTCGACTGTGTGAATGAACAACAACAAATTGCTCTCCCATTCATTGGGGGATTTCTCTTAATGCACCACTGCCAGAGTATTTCTCCTGTCTGATCGGTCCCCATATTAGAAGGGTATTCACGCTGGCTCATTTTAATGTGCTCCCCTCAACTTTGTTATATGGGAGATTTTTTAAAAATACCATTCCCGGATAGGTTATGTCCCTGTGGGCTAAAGGAGATTGAAGGAACAGACCATGTACTTCTGACCTGTAGATTTTACTAGGATTTGCACGCTTATCACCTCAGCCCTATACTACAAACCCTGGAGGGCAAATCTGAGGAAAGTAAGATAATGAACCTTCTAGCCTCAAACAGGGCTGATACCATTGAAGAGGTGGCAAACTTCTTTTACAGAGCATATAGGAGGAAAAGTTCTTTTTTGGCAGAAGGGGTAGTCAATTAACTGTTTTGCATTCCTACTGCCTCTGTACCTAAGGCTGCTGCTGTTGTTATGCCAATAAAGGTTTGTTGTGTTGTGTTGTGTTGAGTTGAATAAGAATTGCACCACAGCTGATTTGGCAGCTGTAGAAGAAAAGCAGCGAGCCAGCCTCCTCGTGAAGCCTCTGCTTTCAGCTCAAAAACCCGCTACACTGGAAGCCCCTGGCCAAGGTCCACAACCAGATCTGATGAGACCGAACTAGCCTGGGCTATCCCTGGCAAATGTATTTATATTAGGTCTTCAAAAAGTGGGCAGAAGTAACAGTGATGTATTCATTTATTGATGCTGTGCTTTTATTCCCGGCGGGTACGACACAGTCTTGCTCTCCTCCACCCTTTCACAACTACCCTGAGAGTCAGTGTGACGGGGACATCTTGATGAGGGAACCCACTGACCTAGGGCCAGAAGGTGCACAGCCTAAGGAAAGCTAAGAGTTGCTGCTGGAAGTGAAAGGGTAGACAAGCAGCTCTGAGAAGCCTGCTCTGGGGAAAGCAGGCCATGCCTCGGAGGAGGTGACAGTGTGGTCTCATGACCTTGTGCTAGCAGAGACAGCAAGAATTAGTAGCAGCTGGGAGCAGGTAGGGCAGCAGGCTGGCTAAGCCTTGGTACTTGTTTAGGCAAGTGTTAAAAGCAGCAGTCAGCCGTGTTGGGGGGGGGAGTAGAAAGAGGAATGTGCAGGCCAGGAGGCTGAAAGGCTGCTGTCAATCGCTTTCGGCTACGCTCCTGCAGAGTGCAGGGGGTTGGACTAGATGACCTGCAAGGTTCCTTCCAACTCTAACATTCTATGATTCTATGATTCTTTGTCCTACTTGGTATGAGGACCAGAATAGACTGCCGTTGCAGAACTGACTGGCAAGTCTGCTGTGTCTTTGGGAGAAACAAGACCAATGGAGCCAAACCTTTACTTGGCTTGCTATGGGCTCCAGTGCTGTGGGGGTGTCCATGAGGTGCCCTGTCCTGTCACAGGTAGGCTTAAGCTCGGTGAACGTCTGTAGCATTTGACTCTG